CAATTTTACATTTACAGTATATATAACTTAGCTGGTATAACATTAAGAGATATATACATGACATTCCACTCATCATTAGACAGTAGATTTCAATTTATATTTACAATTTCAAAATTAAAAATAAATTTGTAATAAAAGAATAACAAAACAAGAAAAGTTGAATCAAACAAGAAAAGTATTTTATATATATGTATATATATATATATATATATACTTCGAAACTTAATCACTAAATTATGAGCAGGTGTAGCTATGAACATGGTTGTACGAGTTGGATAAATTCATGTCATTGTTGTAGCACTGCGGCGCGGCCAGCGAAATGGCGTTCTTGGAAAGGGCACGGCGGACCGTGGCCGCCAGGGATATGTGTGCAGCTAGAAGGATTAGAAGGAGTGACTTCACCTTTTTGTAGAAACTGTAAATTGCCAAGACGCTCTTTTGGTAAAAACCTTACCGCTTCGTTTGCCGGAACGTGTACCACCATCAGTAGAAGAAAGTTTAATAAGAATATCAATGCAAGAGATTTTTTCATATTTCTTATGTAAAAGTAAAAAGGAATTAATCTTTTTCAAAAAAAAAATGTAAAAAGGAATTAATAAATGAATGAATGAATTGGGGTTTTAAATCCTTTTACACCCGAGAATATAGAAGCTGAATTATTTGGTGAAGAGTTTTTATGGTGGGGATGTTGTATTTATAGAGGGAACTGATTTAAAGTTTACAACGGGATTTTTAATTTGTTTTTTTTCTTATTTGTTGAATTTTGTTGACTATTATCTTGCGGAGAGATCTTGACTGTTGACATGTATGATGTATGTAGTGATGTTATAGATCAAATGCATAGACCCAATATAATTCTTAAATATATATGTTAGGCTGGTCAATTTGTTAGACTGTAAAAACTTGAGTAAAGACATCGGTCAACTTTGTTTACAAGAAATCTCTATAAAATACAAAGAGATCGGTATAAATTATAAGGAAGCTTTTGAATTAATATTTTGAAAATATATAAATTGGTTTGGTCAAATTTATTCAATTCTTATGTTTATAGTTATTCAATGCTTATGTTTACATAAAGGTGGCTTGATGGGAAGTTTCAGGGAAGTGTAGTTTTATATCTGCTTCCAAATTCGTTGATTTTTTTTTATCTCAAACTAAACATGTTTAGAAAAGATGTGTTAAAAACATGTGACAAAGAAAAAAAGTCAAATGTTAGGCAAACAAGGTATTTAGATTTTTGGCATCTAATCAAATATAAGACAATTCAAAATTGATGATATTTCTTTGAAGTAAAGTTGAAATCAATATTGTTTTTACTTTTTAGATTCTACAGAAGATCAAACGTATTGCCTTAGATTTAGCATAATTTAATTCTTTCACACTACCACTACCATATAGCGATGAGATAATTCATGATCATAAATAAGATATAACTTTCAAATACTTGTTTTTGTTGCCTCAAAGTTGTTGGATCATTATTTTTACGTAAATGTAGTTTGATGGGAATTTAAAGTTTCTGAGAAGTGTAGATCTATAGTTTCTTCCAACTAGGTGATATTTTTCTTATCTCAAACTAAACATTGCTAGAAGTGTAAAAAACATGTGACGAAATACAATCGGTAATTATTTTGGCATTTAATTATTTTGGTACGTTTGTGTCATGACTCTTTATCAAGGCACTGAATAGTCCGGGTTTCTCACGTGTATAGCGAAGCTAATCGTTTCGCAGATGGATTAGCGAACTATGCGTTTTCTTTGCAGTTAGGTTTTCATTCTTTTGACTCTTGCCCTGATGTAGTCTGTTCGATTATGTTAGAAGATATGACTGGGACAGAATTTCCACGTCTAGTACAGTTATAATTCTTTTTAGTTTAATTTAATAAATGGTGGGAGATAATTGTCTCCCCCTCCCTTACCAAAAAAAAAAAGTATAGGAGAATTCAAAAAATGATGATAATTTTTATGAAATTCAATTATTTCCTTTGAAAATAATTGAACACCGTTAATAATTTTCAAGTATAAAATAATATTTATAATATATCTAATATAAAAATGATATTTGATCCCTCGATCCCCATTAAATTATTTAACTAATTGTAAAAAAAAAAAAAATCGTGTTGCCCAAGCACCATTATAATACAAATAAAATATTAACAAGTAAATAATAAAAGGAATAAAATCCTTAAATTATAGCTGAAAAAGGAAAATTATTTGGAGACAGTCAGATTCGAATCTGAACAAAGCATAAAAAAAAAGTCAACAAAACTTAAAGCGGCGGTCTCATCGTAATCTCAGCCCAAAACCCTATTTTCCTCTCCCCTATATAAACCCTTTCTTCTTCTTTAGACCTTCCTCTCCAAAACGAAATTTATCAAAGCAAAAACCTATCTTCCTGTGTTGGTGACTAAGTACTTTCGCTTGCAGAGAGAAATCACAGTGGTCAAAAGTTAAAGTCTCTTTCCTCTGTGATTCTCTGTGCAAGTGGAAGAGCTTGCTCCCCAAACTTATCTCTCTATTGATTTAATTGAATTCTATGGTTTCTATGTGTGTTTGATAGATCTGATGTTTTTTTTCTTGATTTGTTTATATTTCACTGAAAATATCTCATTAGTGTAACGATAATGTTTTATGAAATCTTGATTCTTGACTAGTTGGTTATAAAATTTGGATGATATTCAGAGATTCGATAGTAAAAATTATTGATACATTTAATATCGATTTGGCTGTTAAATTGAGAATAAAGGGCATGAGAAACCTCCGACGCCGGTGAAGCCATGGCTCACCGGCGTCGGGATCTTTATCCCTGTTGGTGCTGTTGTAGCTCTTCCGTCTCTCTTTCTTCTTTAGCTCAAGTTTGGTTTCAGGAAAGAACCTCCTGTTTCGTTTCATCTTTCGCACAGAGTCGCCGGAGACGGTTCACCGAGTTGAAATCCGGTGTCTCCTTGCGTTTCTCTGATTCTCGGTTCTTCACCGAAGACCCGTCTCCATCCATCCATCCACCTCCGTGGGCTCCTCTTTTGAAGATGCCGACCTCTATCCATCTCGGCAAAGCTTGGACTTGAGTGCTGGTGACCATGGATCTTCTCAGATCTGGCGTTCATGTTCGCCCACCACCACATCTCTCCTGGTTTCAGTTGTTCATGTCCCCTCCTCAGTGGATTTTCGAAGGGCTCGGTCTCTTGTACCGAGTTTCACCGGTGCTCTTTTTGCCGCCATCCTCCTCTGGCCGTCCTCTTCCACGTTTTTTGGTTCTGTTCAAGCTGGTGTTCTTTATCCAGATCTGGTGTTTACTCCGCCCTTCAGCCGCAGCCATTGCCTCTCTCTCGTCGCTGGAGCAACCCTAGGGTTTCATGTGTTGGGCCTGGTTTGGGCCTTGCAAATAATGGGCCAGATTTTGGTTAATTATTTAATGGGCCTAAGTCAAGTGCATCTATCTGCATCTTCCCTCTCTCCCCAGTCCACGACCTCAAGCATCTTATTTCTTTGCCGTCGCCGGCTTGGTCTTCCCCTCGCCGCTCTCGTCTGCTGCTTCCCTCAACCGCTTGCACTCCATGGCTGCTTCCCGTCTTGTGCGACTCTGTTCCCAGCCCATGTTAATGTGGCGAAGTTATTTGGTGATTGCGTTTGGCTCTTTGCTCCTCTGGAGATTTTTCGTCGAGCATCCTTTTCATTATAGTTCAGGTGAACTGCCCCGTTACCAAAATTCCTTCTGTCGGGGCCAGGAGAGATCTTTCTCACCATCCTCCTTCTCGAAGGAGAGAACTCTTTCATCACTATCCTCTTTCGTACTGTTTTGGTCTTTGTACCGTTGCTGGTGTGTTGCGCGGACAACCGTTGTATGTGAAAGAAGGTCAGAGGCTTCGCTCTCTGTTATCTCCAAAGGCTATGCAATTTGGTGCTATGTCGCCTTTGCTCCTTCAGCCGGTTTTCGGCGTGCTTTCTCTGCCTTTGTTGCAGAATCAAGCTCGAACTTTCGATCACCTTTGGTGTTCTTTGTTCTCCATGGCGTCTATTCGCTTCTAGTTTCTAATATTGTCAAGGTTCAAGGACGCCAAGATAATGTTTTTGGCTTGAGTGTTAGATTTGCTTGTATCTATCTTTGCTTTTTCGGCGTTTATGTGCTTTGCTCGGCTTATGTTGCCGTGATGATGGTAGCCTTGTTGGCTTGGATTTCTTTGCCTGTAACCTTCTCCCCCTTGGCTGGAGAATTTTAATTTATAAAATCTTTGTGCACAAAAAAAAAAAAAGGGCATGAGAAACTGTTTTTGTTTGCTAATTTGTCCATTGGATAAAATTGGTAGGTGAGGTAGTCAGAAAACCTTAATATTGAAGGTGAATTCTACTTTAAATTTCGTTACATGTTGATGTTGAGCCGACTAATTTGCCCAAAAAAATAAAAGTTGATATTGAGCTCACAAATTTTGGTGACAATCGATGAGCCCAAACCCAATAGCCATCAGTGACTGAGCCCATGATTTTTTCTACAGGATCTGAAGTAGAAATAGAAGTGTCAAGCGGGCCCAAAGCTTTTTATAAAAATCAAATTTAAGTTCTAAATAGTTGAAATAGTTTATACTTATCCCCCATTGAATCTGTCGAGTATTTGGTGCCCTTGTATCTCCTTAATGGAGCATTTTGTCTTCCCAAAGTTCCCTCCTATGGTTTGGATGTTCAAGCCACACTAGTATTGCAAGGATCCTCCTCCCGGTTAATGGTGTTATCTGCCTTTGATGCAGATTTTGTAACCTCTCGGGTTACAATGGTTGTAGTCTTTCAAGAAGCTATTGAAATCGTTCTTGTTGTTCGATTCTCTTTATACCATTCTTATGTGGTATCTTCAGATTTTGTTGCTGTTTTTAATGCATTTCTCTTCTTGTTGGTTGTCATTCCTCATCCTGAGGCCTTTAAAGTTTTAATAAAAATCATGGGTTACCCAAAAAAAAAAAAGTCATCATATATTAACACAGAAATTCTTAAACTACAATAATATTGAGTTATAGCGCATGATTTTCAATCAGTTGACAAAGACACACGTACCATAATGGTTTGTATCAAAGTCACGCGACGCCACTCGAATTCATGTAGGAGAGAAAGTAAAAAATTTGTTATGACTATGATTGGAAATAATACTGTATAGTCTGTATTTTACCGAAAACTATATATAGTCATTAGACTCATGATACTGTTTTTTTACCAATAGTCTGTTTTGTTTGATTTTGATTATATTATACTTTTAACAAATAAAGAGATTATGAGTCTAAATGGTAACATCAAAAAAACATTCAGCCCGATTCAGCAATTCCGCAGTCACCATTTGCATAAAACTAAATTCAGCTGAATTCAGCCAGATTCAACAGTTTTTTTTAATACCAACAAATATGTAGATACAGTCATTTCTGGTAAAAATTTGGATAATAACGTGTACACACATCGAATTGATATATTTTGGATTATCAAAAATTACACATCAAATTTATATTTTAAAATAAATCAGATTATACAGATGCGATATATGAATAATTCAGATACATAAAACCACTAATAAAATAGGCAAGAAGAGAATTCATGTTCGGATAACTATAGATGATTTTGGATAATTTTATTAATTTTTAGATAATTTAAAATAATTTTAAAAATTTCATAAAAACAACTCACACCTATGCTAAAATATTATTTAAAATAGATTTTTTAAAAATGGACATCCAAAGAGGGCATTTTTGAAAAGGGGTATTGAAAAAGGGGCATTTTTGTGAGTCTCCCTTATATAATCTTATTATATTATCATGTTAATTTTTTAAATTAATCTTCCAATAATGCTTTGACAAAGCTTCTTTCATTAATTATTTACATATTTTTAAGGGAAATTGTTAAAAATACCCCTTTTGGTTTGCCCTTTTTCAAAAATGTCCCTTTTAGATGTCCATTTTCAAAAATGCCCCTTTTAAATCTGAAATTTTTATAAAGTTTTATTAGGTTTATAAAGTACTTATGGATTGTAACTACTACTTGAAGACTCGATCCAAGTATTTATAAGGTTTTATAAGGTGTTTTAAAAGGTTTTACAAGTTATTTTAAAGGATTTTTAAGGTTTTACAAGATATTTTAAAGGTTTTTAAAGGTATTTAAAATGCATTTATAAGGTATTTATAAAGTATTTATAAGATTTTAGATACATAGAAATGTAGTTTGTGTATGTTTTAATAATATTACATACATATTTGGGTAAATCTTATATTTTTAAGAGCATTTTTTATAAGGTTTTTAAAAAGGGGTATTTTTGAAAAATGACATTGAAAATGTGGCATTTTTGCAAAAGCCCCTATTTTTAATAGTTCAAAAATTATTTATATTTGTAATAAGTTTAGATAATTTAGTATTTATTTATTAGTATAACAATTAATTAGACCATTTGATGATTTTATTTATTTTATTTAGATATCTTCTTTGTACTCTATTAATATTCATAATTATTTGATGATATTTTTTCAGTTAAAGTCTTAATTATTTTGACAGATGGGACCAAAAATCACAAAATAATTCAGCTAGATTCAGCAGTTACCATTTAGAAATGTAAAAATTCAGCCAGATTCAGCTGAAAATCACTAAAAATTCAGCCAGATTCCTCAGTTACCATTTAGACCTTATATATGTTTGTTTATATATATTTGGTTTAATTTAGCCCCACCTCTCTTTCATTACATAGGATGTTTTAGAAATTTGTTTTGTTTAATATTTTAAATAAAATGTTTTGCAAATTTCTATATAAATTTAAATGTATTTAATCACTTGTGATAATTTATAAGCTGCTTTTTTATGATTGGTTGAATTCTTTTTTTTTAATGAATATAAATGATACTTTTGTATGGAAAAACAAATTATCTTAACATACATGCTTTTACCTTAAATATTTTCTATTTTGTAACAGAAGGACTATGTTTTAGGATATATAAAATAAATAAATAAAACTCTTTAGCTCAAAATAGATATATCATGTTCTTTTTTTCTGTATTGGTTACCGAACAAAATTGATACTTCTATTCGGTTCCACTTCAACCAATACGACCATTCCAATTTGTATAGTTCCATTTGACTTCTTTAGGTTTCAACCAAACCTAAAAAGAAAGACAAAGAAAAGAACAGAAAAAATATTTTATAAACTAAAAAAATAAACAAAACTTGACGTGAAATGTGACAGCCAATCACAAGTTTTTACCACGAAAGCCAAATATATGTTGAAAATGATAAAAACAAAACTTCTCAATTCAAATTCACGAAAGAGACTTTCACAATTTTGTAAGAAAATAAACAATAATGAGTCTTATAATAAAGTAAGAATAATAGTTATTTGAGTAAAAAATTAGTGATGATGTAAAACACGTAGGGAAGGGGCTAATGCAATAAACAATAAAGTGTTGAACTACTGCGAGTAAACTCTGCAACTTCGATCAAGGAAGCTATAAGTAAATCGAGGCCCTTTATTCACAAATGGTAAATAAAAGAGAAATAATAATACGAAACAAAATAGAAAAAAAGAGAGGCCACTAGACTTTTAGACCTTCTCTTTCAGCCGTTGGATGTGTCCTATCGATGATGAGAGATATCATCTTCTAATTTTGGCAGAATCTTTTGTCTAATTCCACTCTCTCTGTCCTAAAATTTCCCATCTTTTTCACTTCATTCACCAGGTAACAAACCGAAAAATATTGGAAATATACGGGGAACTTTTTCTTTTGTTATACTCTTTTTTAAATTGGTGGTGTGACATGTCTTTTAATCGTTTTTTTTTTCTCCATTTCTTTTCATTGGATGCTGTAGAAAGACTGAAAGAGTCATGCAATTTTTAAATGTACTATGGATAGGCAATTTTTATAAGACTCGTAATAAATCGATCTTTTATTTGATTGCAAGATAGTAACTTTATTTTATTTTGGCTATCATTTAGTTTATTCCCTTTATTTTAGGGGAAAAAAACATGTATAGTGCAATTTTTTTTTCATTAGTTTATCTAATTATTATTTTATTAGTAAGCTCATTGAAAATTCGTAGAAAAAAACGTCAAAGATCCACCTGAACATGTTCATCCTTTAGAACCTACTATTAATTGTAAATAGATTAGCGTCGTACAATACATATATTGTATGAAGATTAAATATATGGTATGAAGATCACAACTAAGTTCTTTATTAAAAAAAAAAAAATCAGAACTAAGTATATGTCAAACAGCCCAAATCCGTCCCACTAGATGTGGCATGTGTCATGCAAACAGGTTACACATGTGAATAACTTTGGTATAGAACTTTTAGTTGAGAGACATTTTACGACGCAGAAGAACAATATTATATTTGCGTGGTTGTAAAATCATAAAAATTTAAGGATCTTGACAAAAAAAAAATGTATAAAGTGATTTAATTTCAAGTCAGAGGACCTTAAGAAATCCATTGGTTAATTCCGCAATACATTGAGTCTAATCATTCTGTATGAGTATGTTATATTAACTTATTCAGTAGATACTCTTCCTGACGTGAATAACTAATCAAGGCACTTTTCCTAGGAGGTCAGATTTTTTATGAATTATTTTCAATTTATACGGTGAAATATTTATTTTTGTCTTGAGTAGCATATGTAGAAGATAAAACAAGATTTATACGAATATTAATCTCAGCTGAATTATTTGTTTTTTTTCAAAGTTGTTTTTCTTTTTTTTCAATCATTGAAGTGTAATAAACAAAAGTTGGATTTCAACGAGTAAGGAGTGAAAAAAAGTAGCGAGATGGTTACATAATTTCTTGTGTTTCGACAATTGTGAAATGTGTTTATATTGGGTGGATATATATGAAGCAGTTGGATGTGTAATAAATGAGACTTTCCTCGTTGGTGAATGTTGAGCTTTGTAATTGTATTTGTACGGTTCCTCCAAACTATTTGCATTGTGGCCTTTGAAGTTTGAACAATCCCTTGTAAATCTTTTATCTAAATAGTTCAAACATACTAACATTCGATTTCACGAGATTAATCGATATGTAAACCATATTTTCAATTTAATTTACTTAAGGAATTTCTAAAACAATTTTTTTTTGCCCTCCCGGATTTATGCGATTTTAAATTTTAGAACACTAATGGAATTAAACACAAGATCGGGTCGACTCGGGTTGGATATATTGTAAAACAAATCTCTTGATATCAATGGGAATCATTTCCCAATTCATCTAATGTGTCCCTCAAATTTCTTTAGATCCTTCAATATTATATACCTCACAGATTCCTCTAGAACCATAAAATGGAAAATTTAGCTAGTTCAAACATATAATTTCCTCCCATAGGATGTTCCAGATATATAATTAAGTGACTGAGAATTAAACATAAAAATGTGCCAACGATGAAATCAATGTCAAGTAAAGGGTCACAATTTGAGCAAACACAACACATGTTGAAAGGAATTGGTCCAGAACACATGGTGATATATTAACTATATAAAACAAAAGAAAGGGACAATGTATGAATCTATATAGTATTATATAAAACTTTGGAGGAAAGGCAAAATCTAAAGACCTAAGTCTAATAATAATGTGTGTCGTTATCTTTGATTTGCTAACAAACAAATGTCAAGATATGGCTCACGAGGAAAGCTTTATAGCGAGGATTAATATATAGATGATAAATTCTATAATAAATATATTAAAAAATGGGAGAAAGGAACATCCACTTTTCCATTTTTGGTATAAAACTTTTGATATAATATGTCCTTTTGCTCGCCGAGGTTTTCCTTATTTATACACTCCCATCTTTTACATATTCACCCATCACTCTTTCCTCTCTACCATTTAGAATAATAACATATATTAGCTACTATTTTAAGAGAAAATTATGATTAAAAATAGTGTTTTCTCATGATATCTACTGCTGTGAAATGTCATATTTGTTGGTCTTTAAATTTGTTGGTTTTACTAAAGATTGATAATCTATGATTTCATCATGTTTTGATCGCGATACCAAACAACGATAACTTTATTAGCCATTGCAGAATGTATATAAAAATTCATAGTGCTTGTTTTAGATAACATGGTTACAAGACAATTGCGACTTTTTTTTTTCTTTGTTTTGTAAAGTTAAATCCTACACTCATTTCTACTTCTTTTTCCCATGCCCTTCTATTATTTATTTTTCCCCCTTTTTCAAGAAAATCATATTTTATGTTGAGATATTTTTTATAGTGGATTTTTTTTTTCATTGTGACAAATTGTTTGAGAATTATATAGGGAGTATTCTCTATAAATTATGCGAACTGTAGCCGTTCAAACTCTCAATATTAACTTTAATATCCTTCTTACAAATTTGCTATTCTTTAATCTATACATCTTTTAAGTCTCGTTTAAATTGTGAATGTGTTTTATAGATAACACTAATTAAATCTATGAATCATGATAGCATAAATTTAAAATCACTGAATGGTATCTGAAGACAAAATTGGTTGTTGATTTTCACGAAACTTAAAGGTGTAATATCATTTAATGAAAGCAATAGATGTACTTAATTAACTTGTGTCATCTCCATAAATCAAATCATGGAAAAGCTCGCTTAATACATGTTTGCCCCCAACATTAATTAAACCTTTTCTTTTAATTTTCATTTTATTACATCTAATATGGGGCTTTGATAATGCGTCCAAGAATCAGTCTCTTTCACAGTCTTAACACCAAAGAGCCCCAACCCTATCATCACACACACCTCTCTCATCTCTATATCTCTCTCTCTCTCTCTCTCTCTAAGAGACAGACAGACATAGATCTTAGATTTTTCCCAGGGGAAAAAAGTGAGTTCATCTTTTCAGATCTTACAAACACTTTTCTTTTATAAACTGATGTGCCACAAATCATTACTAGTACTATCTTAATTATCTTCACAATTTTTTTTATCTACCATAGCCAAAAAGAAAGAGCTTTCACATATGGAGAGATCAAACAACATAGAGTTGAGGAACAGCTTCTATGGCCGTGCAAGAACTTCACCATGGAGCTATGGAGATTATGATAATTACCAACAGGATCATGAGTATCTTCTAGGGTTTTCATGGCCACCCAGATCCTACACTTGCAGCTTCTGCAAAAGGGAATTCAGATCGGCTCAAGCACTTGGTGGTCACATGAATGTTCACAGAAGAGACAGAGCCAGACTCAGATTACAACAGTCTTCATCATCATCCTCAACACCTTCTCCTCCTTACCCTAACCCTAATTACTCTTACTCTTCCATGGCAACCTCTCCTCCTCCTCACCATTCTCCTCTAACCCTATTTCCAACCCTTTCTCCTCCGTCATCACCAAGATATAGGCCAGGTTTGGTCCGTTCCTTGAGCCCCAAGTCAAAACATACACCAGAAAACGCTTGTGAAACTGAAAAATCTTCTCTTTTAGTGGAGGCTGGAGAGGCTAAAAGGTTCACCAGTAAAGATGCTTGCAAGATCTTGAGGAATGATGATATCATTAGCTTGGAGCTTGAGATTGGTTTGATCAAAGAATCGGAGCAAGATCTGGATCTAGAACTCCGTTTGGGTTTCGCTTAATTAGATGGTAATAATTTTATCCTTAAAAGGATTTGAAGTTCACAATTCTAGAAGATATGCCGCTTCTCAAAGGTTAATTAGTTTCATCGATATGAAATTCTCTAAGCTTGCTAATTAGTAGAACGTTATATATAGTCAATTATATGATTATAGTATAAGCTATAAGCTTGCGTTAGATGTTATATAATATTTATGCGCTTACTACCGTTTTATGTATGACAATGGATACAATTTTGTCTCCGTAATAATTGTTTATCTCCTCGATCGTATTTAAATTTCTACATATTTTAGTCCTTACGTTTCATGTAAATTGATATGTTAAGACTTAGTTTGCTTTTTGTTTTTGTTTTATGAAGATTGATGTTTTATTTTTATCGTTTGTGTGCAAATTTAATATATATTTACTGGTGCAGCCTATATAGTAGTATATATAATTGCACAAATTTCGATAATAACAATATAATTAGTATATTAGATCTTTTTACACACCCTACTATAAGCTTGATGTTTTGTAGTTTTACACACCTACTAAAAGCTTGATGTAAAACTACAAAACATCAAGCTTTATAAAAGGAATGATTATTATTTTAGCCGAAAACATAGTTGATCTTTTGTAGAGGGAGTTTGGTAGACTTTCTTTTTAATGTACTTGTTCAATCCATATATTTCATAGCTAGTATACGGTAATGGAACTTGTAGGTCGAATCTAGTTCAAATTAAGTTAGCTAGCTACTTCAAACTGAATTCCTATACAAAGGCCAAATATATGCAAAAGTGAAAACATATCAATGAGTTCTACGGTTCTACCTTTGTTACAAAAAAAAAAAAAAAAATCAATGAGTTCTACCTTGGAACGATTTATTATTTTCAACACTTGAAATTCGAACTTCATATATAGTGCTATATATATGCCGATCATATTCTCAAGCAAATTGGATGTTGTACTAAATAAACTCCTTCGAACTAACACATCTAACCTACCTTTTTAGGTAACAATTACCCGAGACGGGCTAGTAAGATTCCAAACAGATATTAAGGCTTTGAATGGTTAGTCCATATGATGCGGACTGGACACTGCATACCAATATTTTAGTATGCAAAATATCAAACTGTAGTATGGAGCAGACAATTGTATGATGGTATGGAGTTTTTGGGGAGTGGAATGAAAAATTGCAGAGTAACAGTGAATTTATGATGGTATGGAGTTGTACGCTCAAGTGCATACTAGTATGGAGATTTTTAATCTGTAATAGTGCATACTAGTCCGCAATAGTGAATGATGAATTAAGTGCAGACTGTTTCGATTTTAGTCCGGTCATGCAGCATACTAGACAACCATTCAAAGCCTTAAATATAAATTTCCATTTGGTTAGTAGTTCTTCGTGTACTAATTAGGGTTTCAATATTCTTTTTATTTCTATATAAATACTATTTTGATTCATAGAATAATATCATTTTCTATGAATCAAAATAGTATTTATATAGAAATACAAAAAAAAAAAAAAAAAAAAAACAGTGTCATTCGATGGAGTATGAATCTTCACATATATCAATATCATTAATGGATTATGAGCTTTTACAATTATGCCTTTTTCTGATAAGGAGCTTTTGCAACTATGTCTGTATTAGATCTTGCGTTTACATGTATATAAATTTTTTATTTTCACACAATAAGAAAATTTAAGCGTTTATGTAAAAAAAAAATATCAACTCAAAGTCACAAACCCGAAACACAAGTAAAATATTTGTTCTGTCTGCAGTTTAATGTTTACATTCATAGTTGCAAATGATTTAAAATAAAAGCACTAATAGGATGTAGTCAGTTTATTCAAAAAATGGTGAGTTTTATCAAACATACATGGGTAAACATAAAATTAGATATATATAACCATTAGTCAAGACTTTTATTGTTTGTGAATAGAAAAAAGGCGCTTTTAGTTTCTTCAAATCCCGAACGACGATGAGCAAAGTTTCTCTCGACGCTCAGAACATTTTTTGTTAATTAGTTTTTGACTTTTGTATGTAATTTATCAATTTTTTCAAATCTGAACGGTTTGAATAGAAACTGTGTTTGCGTGTGATCTTGACTAATTGTAAGAATATTTATATTTTTTGACTGAATCATTGCACTGAGGGTAACAAATCATTATTAGAAAACAATTCCCAAAGCATATTTCAGTTTCATGAGTGCAAAAACTGTAAACATGTCATAATTTACTCGATCGCCATTTATTTCCTTAATCTTTTTGTCTTTTTTTTACTTTTCTTTTGGTTTGAAAAGGTCAACACGTACGGAACAAATCATACACAACTATAGAAAGATAATGAAATATCTTGTATCACAACACAGATACGCAACACATGTGTATGTGACCATAGTTGGATTTGGACAAGAGGGTATATATGCTGGAAGTTTGGTATTCCCCAAAACCTGAGGGTTTGCATGTTCCCGACAATGTCTGGGTTTTGAATGGCATGATGAGCTTTCCTTTTATAGTAAGTTATGTTTTCGTCAGTTCTAAGCGTTACACATAACTAAACAGTACAAACTCCTCCACCAAATTATTACTTTCCTTGAAAAGCATTAAAGTTTTTCCTCAACACTTTTTCACATACTCAAACAACGGCCACTTCAAATGTGCACGCACCGTTATTATTAATTATTAATATCTTCATCTAATTAGACTCATCTCTATTTTCTTACAGGTACAATATTTTTTATATTGTGTATGCTACATTTTTTTCTAAAGAAAAAATAGTGTTATGGTACAATAATTCTAAAATGAGTGATACTTAGAAAAGATTTTAAATCCCGCATATATTGGTCCAGATTTAATCCCGCATATTATATATTGTTGACAAAAAAAACAAAAGCGGACTTTAAATCGACTCGACAATAAAATAGTATCAGTACCATTGTTTTAAATTCATTGAATTTTCGGATATGTTTCCGCATTATTTTACATATATAATAAGTTAATAACTAGTGATAACTCAGCTTAGTACAATTTTTTTTAAGACAGATTCAAATTTGAGTTTTCTGACACTTTTGAAATAGCAAACCATTAGCATGACTTAAATCCAAATTTTGTTATATTTCTAGTCCCTTATAAAATCGTTAGTTGTAAGAAAATCGTTACAAAAAGCATATATATATATATATTAGAGAAATATATTTTGAGACATATATATATATATATTAGAGAAATATATTTTGAGACAAAAATTATAACAGATCAATGAAACTAATTAATAACATTCAATAGCTATCCCCGCAGGATTCCACACACTTCGCATCTCCCTTCAGCCTTTCTACAGGCACATTAGCCACTATATACTTCAGCCTTTCTACAGGCACATTAGCCACTATATATTAATATATCTATCATCCATCTCTACTAACCCGACTATATTTAATAAAGCTCTATATAGTCCGTACATAATGTCAAGTGATGTCAAGATCTTTTCACATAATGTATGCATGTGTGCATGTCAGTAATTAAAGTCATGAATAATAATCAAAAGTTTATACCATAGTGTGACATTGTACATTCAAGTAAATATATAAATGAGCAGATGGAAAAGAAGAGCCCAAAAGGGGCACTTAGGGCTGCAACGTGAGGCTCAGGCCATCACATTGAATGACTTTGATAATGATGACGTCATAAGAAAATGAAAACACATAGAAAATTGTAAAGACAAATAGACAAAGGATAAGCTCATCTTTGTTGTTAGTTTTGTGAAAGTGGAGATAGACATGGGCACAAAATGGTAATAATAATACCAAGACGTAGTATTAATAATAAAAGTGATATATACTTTCGTAGGAAGTATTAAGTAACAACAAGTTGATGAACAAATTAAGTAACAAGTTAGGCGAATATCACATTCTATTTGGTCATCAAGCTATATTTTTTTAACTATGTGAACAATCATAGATATGTTAAATTGTTAATTGCTTTCGGGGTATCATTACAATTACTCATACAATTTTTGTGTATATATCACTGCTAAATAGGTTATATAAATCGTATTATACAATTAACATTTGAGTACCTACCATCAGAATGTGGGAAAATGACAAATGAAGATCTACAATTGATCACACACAATTTGGTTCTCTTTCTCTCATTTTAAGTCGATGAATGGCATAGGCAGTTAGGTCTTCCACTTCCGATCAAAACTTTATGATTTTTGGATTTTAGGTATATTTGTCATTTTTTCTATAAAAATTTCCTCTTCTTCCTTTTTTTTTTCAGTCTCATTACCACTTTTTCCCCTCACAGCAAAGACATATTTGACTAATAAATTTCACAAACAAAACAAAACTGCCCTCTATTTGGTCATCACTAAATTTAGTTTGGGCTTTAAATTGGGGCTTCAAAGCCCATATATAATCTCTCTTATCATAGCCACTTTAGGAACAATTCATTTATTTCATTTTTTGACTTTAGGAACAATTCATTAAATTGGAACTTTTACATTTATGTACAGAAAGAAGAGAAACCAAGTCCCATACCCAATTATTCATACCAAGACTTAGTTAAATTACAAGCAAATGGAATACAGCATTGAATGTATAAGTGTGAAAATAGACGAAAATAGGCAAATAGCCAGTGATATTTACAGGCATTCATGAGTTTGTTATTTCTTAAGGTTTCGATTGCATGTGACTTCTTTAATGAAGAAGATGATCAATATCTCTATATTTTTATAATATTATATATCTATATGTAATCATATATACACACACTACTCTTTCAGTTTATTATATTATTGTATTAATGTATATCACCCGCAAGTCCAAACACACATGCACGTATAAATATTGAAAATCAAATAAAAAATTTGCTTTCGATGACCAATTTTTTTTTTATCCACATCCCAATTTAGAATATTTGTTCGTGCGGATTCTGTGAAAAAATTGTTATTGATAAAAGAAATAAATGTAGCTTTGGACGATGAGCTGTGGTCCAAAAGTTTTCGTCTGTTATAATTCACTAGTGAATATTCCAAAGTCAGTAGGATTCTCACATGTTCTCGAAATCCTATAAAAAATTAATGATCCTGAGCTTATAGAAAATGAATGACAACACTTCTTTATCTAAATATACATAATGGTGTACATACTTGACATACAAGAGGACCTGATTATGCTTATTTCGATAATTAATATTCCATCCGTTTTTTTATAAATGATGTTTTAGGTGAATGCACATAGATTAAGAATTCATTTAATTTTTATTTATTTATAAACTAAAACATCATTTATTATCTAATCAACCAATAAAAAAATAATCTACAGAATTTAAATCGTCAAAACCGATAAAAAAATAATTAATTTTGCATTAAAAATTGAAAACATCATCTATTTAAAAACAAAATTAAAAACTTCAAACATCACTTATAAAATAACGGATTGAGTACTTTGCCAAATTGATTAAAATCTGAATCAAACTAATATTCCCTTTGTTTCATAATATATGATGTTTTAAGATTTTTTTTGTTTCAAAATACAAAATGTTTTACAAATTTATATGTAACTTTAAATACATTTGATATTTTGTGACCATTTATATTTTATAATCTTTTATATCATTGATTGAATTTTCTTAAATTAAATATTAATGATATTTAAAAAATAATAATAAAAATAAAATGTGTGTTTTTAGTTATAACAACCTATATTTTAAAACAGAAGAAGTATCATTCTTTCACTATTATCTGCCGGCATGATCTCACACAAAAAAAACTTAACCAAACGGAACGTTAATCAGTATTCATTAATCATTACATGTATAGAGTTTTAATCAATCGTAAAAAGTTATAATATATTATATCCTAAATAACGAGTATGTGATACATGATATGTGTTGCTATGTAAGCTATGTATTACTTGCTCAAAACTTAGCTAATATAACACGGTCTCGGTCCATAAAAGTTAAAGGGTAGTCTAAGAAGTAAATATATGCAGGTAATATCATTTTGTCGGTTCTGAAACTGAAAACATTAATATTTTACTTATAGCAATCGTAAGACTAGCAGGCGATCGCTCATCGTATCGGTCATATATTTTCTAAGTTTTATTTTGTTTTTGTTAAAGCATATTATTTCCAAGTATAGAAACCATCGAAATCATTTTCAGTTTTTGGGAGAACTCATAATAAATTTCATAAATGCTATTTCATTAATGAGATATAGTCCATTTGTATATTCTAATTGTTTTACCTACTTCAATTAAGCACAACCACAAGTCCACAACTCCTTAGTGAATGCTTCTTTTAGTATTTTTTGGTTTCATTAATTCTTTAATAGTTTTTACAGGTTCACATTCAAAAGATAATTCGTACGGATTAAATTGAACTAGCTACTAGCTAGCCTTCCAACTTTGTTAAAAAACTTTCGCTGGCAATTTTTACACTCGATCGAAATGTATAATTTGTATTTATATCTTTGTATCGTTTATGTGTGTATATGTATGATCATATTTTCATTAAAAAAAAAAACGATTAAATAGAGTATATATATGCATGTTAACCTAAGTAGTCACTCGAAGCCTTAGAGCATGTTTATCCATAAACCCAAATGAGTATCATTAGCATTTTTTAGTATTAATTTAATTAGTTGTTTAATCTATGATATTCAATAAGATTTTTGTTAAATTTGTATGTTTAATGGTGAAACTTAATGGGTATAACTAAAATAAATTAGTATTTTTTTTTACGAAAATGAGAGAGTTTTTTTTTCCTAAATTTTTTTTTGGCCCACTCAAAACGTGACACATGGCCACTTGATACCGACTCAGAAGACTCACCTGAGTGATCCGTTTCAACCCAGTCTCAACCCAAAATGAATTTTTTTAATATTTTTCATGGGCTGATACCCATCAAATATCATGGATAAACATGCTCTTATAAATAATACCTTGAGTAGTTTCTTTTCCGATTAATTAAGAAACTTTTTCAAATGATGTGACATCATCCTTTGTTAATCATTCCCTGAAAATTGTTGTAAAACATATAAACTAAAATAATCATAAACTTACATGCTTGGTGTTTTTGTAGTTATAATTAATTCATGTTGCGACCCAAGAATTTATAATAAACATTTAATTTTAAAAAGCCCTAATTTTTCCTCTCTGTTGTAATAAATCTCAAACGATATCTCCTCTGTAAAGCTTAATGCTTATTTCTGTATAAAATATATTAACCATAAAAAAAACAAATTAGCCCTAATTAGTGTCCGTTCATACACATACTCTTTCCTTAGCTTATATATACGCTAGTGTGTGTTTTAAGGAGAGTCGTAACCTCAATTCAAAACATTGAATACTGAGAGAGAGCCCAACAAAACTAGAAGAGAGATGAACCACCGTGACAAACAGATTGATTCCGGCTCTGGCTCCGGCTCCAGCTCTGGAGATAACCGCCGGACTTACGACTGCAACATTTGCCAGAGAGGCTTCACGAATCCTCAAGCTCTCGGTGGTCACAATAACATCCACCGCAGGGAACGCGAAAGATACCCCTCCTCCTCTTTTTCTTCTCACTCATTTCCATTTTCTCTTCCTTTACCGCCTCAGTATCCATCCTCCTCCATAAACTTCACAAACCCTAATAATAACAACAACCCGCCTCCTTATTTTCCGACCATTGAGTCATACCAACACCAAGGGTCTCAGCCACCGATTAACCCTAGCCACAACACACAATACTTTGGATCATCATCATCATCAAGAGGAGGAGGGAGATTTTCTCAAGGGGACTATCATGATCTCAATTTGAGCTTAGGGCTCGGATCCATGAATGACAATGATGACACTTACCAGAGCCCACCAGAGACTGGAGGTTCTCAGCCCCAAGATGAGGATCTTGATCTTGATCTTCGACTTGGCGGTCATCGTCGTCATTAAGCTTGCAGCAGTTTCCCTCACGTTCAATCCACGTTATCATATACAATATATATAGTTGAAGTTAATCACCCTAATTACATAATATGCTTTTATTATGTAACGTCGATCGTAGGAAGTTTGGGTCTGTATATATAATTCATGACTATATTCTTCTCTTAAAAAATTATAGATCAAATACGTTTGAGTAATGTTCTTGTTATAGTAAACCGTTTTTTTTAAGTGTTCTTATATTTCGTTGTCTGAAGTTGGGTTGTATATATAATTCAGGATTATTGGTCTCTTCGATCCATAACTATAATCTATATATTAGTGTATAGTAGATCTATAGATCAAATAGGTTTGCGTACATGTTCTAATTATTAGTTACATTGTATGAAATTTGGGTTTTATATAATCAAAGAATATATATCATTCTCTAATATTAGTTGAATTTACATTTCGTTTTTTTTATTAAGTAAGTTTAAACTTGTATTATGAATGAATCCGAACTGCAATGGGATAAACATTAGATGCGTTTTAATAATAGGTTGGTGAAGTTAATAAATTATACCATTTGAAAAGCAATCCAAATTTAGGAACTACATTTTTGCAGACCCATGTGAACTGATATGAATCAATCAAAGCCTTGATGTTGTAAAACAAATTATGATTATAAAAATAATAAAGGAGAGTAAATGAAAATTAAATCTGGGTTTTATGAACTGACAGTTGAAGTTTAGAAGTAGAAGCAGAGATCAAAGTATGACCAGTTAAAAGGCCCAATATCATTTGGAGGTTTGATTTTGGGTTCGTAAATTTCAAGAGCCAGATTATGATTTGCTGGGCTTACAAATCATGGAAATTTGAAATTTAGGGTGTTAAAAGATACAACTCAAATTAAAGATTTCAATTGGGTCTAGTAGGCTGGTTTTGTTTTGAACTTGCGCAAGTGTAAGAAAAGTAGAATCAGTTAAAACCAAATTGAGATTCAGATCCATTTTTTTGATATATATTTTTGATGGATAACTCAATTTATGTGTAAGAAAAGATATATATTTTTGATGGATAACTCAATTTATGTGGACATTTTTTGCTTATATTATATACACAGTTTTTAGTTTTGCTCGAGAAAAATATAATGCGGTTTAATACGAAGTCTAGCTCGTGCTGACAAACACTAACCATATATATCAATATTTCATACATGCTGAATTATTTATGGACAAAAGTAAATAGTTAATTTGATTGCTGCTTTTACTTACAGGGAGATATATATCTTTGGCTTTGACCAAAATTAATGATATCAAACATGCTTGTACAAAAGATTATATACAATAATACAAGCGTGTTTAATTATACTAGCTAAATGTTTGTTTTCCTAAATTTAATAATAATATCAAGGATATAGAGATATGTTTCTATTTGACAAAAATTATAGAGATTTTAAATTACCTATTTCATAAATTTTTTTTGATAAAAATAGCTCTTTTTATTAAGTAAAATATCAAGAGGAAATTTTGTTTTCTTTTCACTTTAAGTTATTTAATCCACAAAAGAAAAGATTGTTTAATTTTTCTTTTCTTTTTCCACCTATGTTTTCAATTTTAACAGATCATAAATAAATTAATATTAATTTGTTTTTGGGTCAACAATAAATATTAATCTCTCTTTTTCACGTCTCTTAAAGAAAACTTTGAGCGCAAGCTTTAAAGATAGCTTGGAAAGCAAGATGTGGTGGTGTTGGCAATATCGTTAATACGTTAAATTATTTGAGTTTTGACAACGTCTCACTGAAACAGAGAAAGACGTCGTTGCCTTGATTCTTGAATCTAAAGAAACCTAAATCTGTGGGATTGTGCTCTGTTTGCGCCATGGAAGACGTCTGCGAAGGAAAGGAACCTAAATCTGTGGGATTTGTGTGTCAATGCAAAGTTTGTTTATCTTAAGGTTCGTAACAACTACACTGGAAAAGTCTACGTTGTTGCTGAATCTCGATTGTCATCCCTTCCCATCGATAAGCCTAAGGCCGAAACTGCTGGTGATACCAAGAAAGTGAAAGGTGCTAAGCCTGAAAATGAAGAGGATTCTTATCAAGTTTTGGAAAAATTTAATGGAGCTTCCTTGGTTGGGAAAAAGTATGAACCTTTGTTTGACTACTTTAACGATTTCTCAAGTGTGGCTTTTCGAGTAGTAGCCGATGATTATGTCACTAATGATAGTGGTACTGGTATTGTCCACTGTGCTCCTGCTTTTGGCGAAGATGACTATCGTGTTTGTCTTGAAAATAAGATAATTAATAAGGTTAGTATTAGTCTATATGACCGGTTTGTGTAAACCAGAATCAAACCAGAAGTCTCTACTATATAAAGAGACTCTCATGTAACAAAAACTTTAAGTTGAATAACAAACTTTTTCCTTCTTCCTCGTTTTCTCTCGAGAACTTGCAACTACTATCATGGTATCAGAGCGATGAATCTCAAAATTCATCAGATCCGACCTAAAATTCTTCGTTTCTCTTCGTTTCTTCAGCTTCTATTAGAAGGTCCCACATTGCTTGGGATTAAGATCTTTGGGTAGTATATAAAGGATGTGGCAATCCTTAACTCTTGAGCTAGCTTTTGGGTTAAGTTAGGCCACATTCCTAATATGGTATCAGAGCCAGATTGGCCCAACAAGCAAAATTCCCACAAAAATGGTTTCTCATCTATGTGGCCCATATAAGTGGCATGTCTTGTTGTATTTCCGAGATGTTGGGCTTGGGCTGTTCCCGTTGGGCCGTTTCCCACCCACATCTCGAGGAGGCCTATTAGAAGGTCCCACATTGCTTGGGATTAAGATCTTTGGGTAGTATATAAAGGATGTGGCAATCTTTAACTCTTGAGCTAGCTTTTGGGTTAAGTTAGGCCACATTCCTAAACAGTATGTCAAAAAGTCAGATTCAGGACGTGATTGCTTATTTCAGCACACAACTTCAGACTCCACGACAACCTATTACTATTGCCTCTGTTGCAAGTACAAGTGACTCAAATGCTTCAGCTTTTACTGGTATCTCTTTTTCACCCTCTACTCTCTGGTTACTTTGTGTCTTGACATCCTCTAAGAAAGTGTTAACACTGAATACATGGATCATAGATAGTGGTGCTACTCATCATGTCTCTTATAACAGAGATTTGTTTGAAAGCCTATCTGATGGTTTGTCTAGTGAAGTAACCTTACCTACTGGATCAAATGTTAAGATTGCTGGAGTTGGGGTGATTAAATTGAATGCTTATATCACATTGAAAAATGTGTTGTATATTCCAGAATTTAGACTGAATTTGTTAAGTGTCAGTCAGTTGACAAAGGACATGAAGTCTAGAGTATATTTTGATGAGGATTGCTGTGTGATTCAGGATCCTATCAAGGAGCAGAAGATTGGAAACGGTAAACAAATTGGAGGCTTATATGTCTTAGACACTAGTTCTGATGAATGTTCTAGTGTAGATATTTTACCCAATGTTAAGGAAAACCAGTATTGCAATGCTGTTGTTGATAATACTTTATGGCACAGTAGATTAGGACATCCCTCTTATGAGAAAATTGATGTTCTACATGATGTACTTGGTTTACGAAAAAGGAATAAAGATGAGCTGGTTCATTGTTCAATTTGCCAAAAGGCCAAGCAGAAACATCTCTCTTTTCCTTCTCAGAATAATATGGCTAGTCAGAAGTTTGATTTAGTTCATATTGACACATGGGGACCGTTTGGAACTCCTACTATTGAAGGATATCGATACTTTCTGACAATAGTAGATGATTACAGTCGGGCTACATGGGTTTATTTGATGAAAACAAAGAATGAAGTTTTGCAGATATTTCCGGGTTTCTTAAAGATGGTTGAGACTCAATATGATACTCCAGTGAAAGCAGTAAGATCAGATAATGCTCCTGAGTTGCGTTTTGAAGAGTTATACAGAGCCAAAGGTATCATTTCTTACCATTCTTGTCCTGAAACACCACAACAGAATTCAGTAGTGGAGAGAAAGCATCAACACATACTGAATGTGGCTAGGGCTTTAATGTTTCAAGCTTGTGTTCCTTTGGATTTCTGGGGAGATTGCATTCTATCTGCAGTTTTTCTGATAAACAGGCTGCCAACTGCTCTTTTGTCTAATAAGTCACCTTTTGAGCTACTTCATTCAAAACCTCCAGATTATTCTTCTTTAAAGGTCTTTGGTTGCTTGTGCTATGAATCCACCAGTACTCAACAACGACACAAGTTTGCACCAAGAGCAAGGGCATGTGTTTTTCTTGGGTACCCTTCTGGTTACAAAGGCTACAAGTTACTTGATTTGGAGACTAATACGATTCACATATCCAGACATGTTGTGTTCTATGAAACGATGTTTCCTTTTGCAGACAAGAAAGAGGTTCCTCAAGATATTTTCAGTACAACAGAGCAACCAGGAATCAAACCTAGTGAAGCTTCTACATCTACACCTGATCCTGCAGTTTCTGAAGTTCCTACAAAAAGGCAATCTAAACCGCCTGGTTATCTTCAGGATTTTTATTGTAATGCAGTTCCAGATGTGCAAAAGGATGTGAGGTATCCTATTTCTGCTTATATCAATTATGCTCAGTTGTCAGAGGAGTTCACTGCATATATTTGTACTGTAAACAAATATCCGGAGCCTTGTACTTATGCTCAGGCTAAGAAGATTCAAGAATGGCTTGATGCAATGGAAATCGAAATTGATGCTCTAGAAGCTACTAATACTTGGACAGTTTGCTCATTACCTGATGGAAAGAAACCAATCGGTTGTAAATGGGTTTTTAAAGTAAAACTCAATGCTGATGGTACATTGGAGAGGTTCAAGGCAAGATTAGTTGCTAAAGGTTATACTCAAAAGGAAGGTCTAGATTATGGTGATACTTTTTGTCCAGTGGCCAAAATGTCAACAGTCAAGACACTATTATCTGTTGCAGCCATCAAGGAGTGGAGTTTACATCAACTGGACATTTCAAATGCGTTTCTCAATGGAGATTTAAATGAGGAAATTTACATGAGCTTACCTCCAGGATACTCTATGAAACAGGGATGAGTTTTACCAGATAATGCAGTCTTGAAGTTACAAAAATCTTTATATGGGTTGAAACAAGCCTCAAGACAATGGTATTTGAAGTTTAGCTCCACGTTGGTGAATCTTGGATTTAAGAAATCTATTCACGCGTATAACAGGTAATGACTACATTGCTTTACTTGTTTACGTTGATGACATTGTTATTGCGGGAAATAATGATGCTACTATAGAGGTATTGAAGCATGATCTAGCAAAGGCTTTCAAATTAAGAGACTTAGGTCCTCTGAAGTACTTTTTAGGCCTAGAAATTGCTAGAACCAAAGAAGGGATTTCAGTGTGTCAGAGGAAATATACATTGAATTTGCTAGAGGAAACTGGTTTATTAGGCTGCAGACCATCAACAATTCCGATGGAACCCAGTCTGAAGCTATCACAACATAGTGATGAACCAGAAATTGAAAACCCTGAAACATATCGGAGACTAATTGGGAAGTTGATGTACCTGACTATCACTAGACCTGACATTACATTTGCGGTCAACAGGCTTTGTCAGTTTTCATCATCTCCTAAAGCTTCACATTTGAAAGCAGCGTATAAGGTCCTTCACTACATGAAAGGCACTATTGGATTGGGTTTGTTCTACTCTTCCAAGTCTGATTTGTGTCTCAAGGCCTATACTGATGCAGATTGGAATAATTTTGTTGACTCCAGAAGATCTACATCAGGGTATTGCATGTTTCTTGGTAATTCTCTGATTTCTTGGAAGTCTAAAAAGCAGGATGTATCCTCTGGTTCTTCTGCTGAGTCTGAATACAGGGCAATGGCGATGGGGAGTAAAGAAATAGC